CCCTTACATGGGTGTGTGCCTTCTGCTTGGTCACGCATACCCACCTCTCTCTATTGTCCCCATTTCACAGAGGCAGAGTGAAGGTTGTTACTGATCATTGCAATTGCGCTGTAGTTTTCGTCAGTTTAGAAAAGATATACGAAATATTTCTTGTACCCATTTTTCCGTCAAAAGTAGAAAAATAAAAAACGGACTAAGAAATCCTTGTCTTTCTTAGCTCTGGCTGACATCACTCATTTATGTACACATGTATGTAGAATATAAAACATCCTAGAATTTGCTCAGGTAGTACCAGTTCAAAATATTTTGGCTTTTGTTTTTTCCCCCCTAAGTGCACCTGGACTTTTGATATCACATGTCTTGATGATCCATCGTTTCAGAAAATAGTGTTGCCTTAATAGAGGCAAAAGTTAAGCCAATCTATCTTCTAATTAATTTGGTGAGGTGTTTCTTTCACCTTAAGCAACTGATGCTTTTCGTCTAACAATTACGTTATGTTTGAATATTTATCACTGGAACCATCTCTACTTGTTTCAAACCCTGTGAAAACTACGCCCTACCTTTCAAGGATGCTTAGAAAGACTCGTATGTGCTTGGAAATCTTGTCTACTAAGTGAGAATCTGGAGGTGACTCTTCATTTATCCCTTCATTGTTCCTGTTAGGATCGCGTAATTGCGTTTGCGTTTTTAAATGGAGCTGAGTATACGGTCTGCTGCAGAGTTAAAGGTTAGGAAACAAAATAGGCAAGAGCTGATGGGGCGGGGTGAAGACCCGAGTCCAGGGAGGCTGGCTTCCCCCGATAAAAAAGACAACTGCCCTCCATTCCCTCCTCTTCTGTTTTGCACGCAGCCTAAGGCGTTCACCATCTGTACGTCACGCTTCAGAGAACAGCTCCGTTGCAATTTTGCTGATACCCCCATTCCTTAGCTTGGAACCAGAGGGGGCGGGAGAGGGAAGCCGTCACTCAGCCCCACGGGCCAATGGGAGAGCGGATAGCTCCGCCTCCTAACCTGGGCTGAGATGCGGGCATGCGCACTGGGCGTCCCAGCGCCGCCGCCCATCAGCTGAGAATTGGCCCTGGGGGCTCTGGGGCCTTGTAGGCGACCGTGGCTGGAGGAGGAGGAGGTGGAAGCCGAGGAGGTCGGGGTAAGAGAAGCCTGGGAAGGGGGGTCCCTGGCCCAGCGCCTCGGAAGCGCGGTGCTACTGCGACTGCCGCGCCTGATTAGTGCGCGTCGTCAGGTGGCCGCCGCCCTGCGCTCTGCGGCAGGCGCTCGGGAGGCGAAGGGCCGGCGCTGCCCGGGCTCCCGAGCGCCCGCTGCGCCGCACGTTCCCAGCCCGGTGCGGGTGCGCAGCGCGTCCCGCATTCCTGACGCGCGGCTGCGGTCAGGCGGCGCCCCGGGCCGCGCTCCCGAGGCGCCCTGGCCAGTGGCGCGCACCCGGCTGGGCGGGCGCCGGAGCCGGCTCGGGCCCATCTCAGGAATCCAGGTTCTGCCTCGAGCAAGACACGACCAGTTGACCTCTTCCTCTTTTTAACTCTCGGCTTGAAAAACACACTTTAGACTTCTCTTCCCGAATGGAGAGAGAGGAACTGAAAAATACATGGCTATAGCAAACGAACCGTGTACGTTTAAAAAATTTTTTTACATCTGCTTGGCTCTTATTTGTACATATATTAATTTTTCTTTACTTCAAGTCATTTCTTTCTGACTGTAATTATATATCATTTAAAACTTGCCCCAAATCTGGAAGAAAAGGTAGTAATGATGAAATGCTGTGCTGTTTAGTAATGTTGGAGGTGGTCGGCTCTGCTCTGAGGTGCCCTGAGCCGCACCTGGGCAGAGGCTGAGAAGTGTGTCTTGTGATGTGAAGGAGCCTCTGCTTTGCAAGCCTCTTTGGGAAGTTGGCCTCTGGCTTGTGACTCGTTAAGAACTGTGCTCTAGTATCAACCTTTCTGTAGAAGTTAATACGATACCATATTAACTCATTAACGTCTACATCATTTTTCTTCTGATGTTTGACTTGTGCCTTTCTTCATAACAAATCCATTTTGGTTATGATCCCAAGCTTGCGCCAAAGGGCTGGTGGTTACAAATTAAATTGTGGAAAACATCCACAGTAAGCCTGGGTAAAGTGTGCCATGATTCCATTGAACTTGAAAGTTTAGTGTGTGAAAGGGTGAAAAAAAAATCCTTGGTATTGTGAACTAGAAGCAAACGGTGTAAATAGTTCTTTAGCTGAGCTAAAGAATGCAGTTATAGTTTGTGTAGAGAATACTCACGTTGGAGACTGAGCACCCTCACATTCAGTTACCATGCATGTTCTGGACACTGTAGATACCACAAGATGACAAGGTTGTCTCTCCCCTGTTTAAGTTCCATAAGTAGGGATCGATAATCAACAGTATACTAATTAGATCTTTTATGCTATTAGACCTAATTATACTATTTATTCTCATTAATTAATGATGAGCTTTATGAAGTAGTAAGTTAGAGAGATTGACAGAGAGTGGCGGGGTGGTGAGTTCCCACTTCAGATCAGAGTGGTCACTGGAGGCTTCTCAAGCATGTGATGAGATTTTGCTGGGGAGAAAGAACCAGTCACATGGAGATCATGGGAAGAGCCTTCTAGAGATAGGAAATGCCACCCAGCAAAGGCAGCTAGAAGCCTGGGACATTTGGGATCTGAAAGAAGGCACTGAAATTCAATGTTTCAGAAATGGTAATATTTACCAAATTAGGTGTGTGTTCTTAGGAAGCAGGTATATTTATTTATTCATTCTTCAAATATTTATTAAGCATCTATGGTGTAGCCAGGTACTGAGAGTAGAGCAGTCCACAAAATAAACAAAAAACTGCCTCTTCTCCCACAGTAACTTGACATTTTGGGGCACAGGGTGGAGGGAAGTCCAGTTGTTTATGCTGGTGCTCATGATTAAGAAAGTGAAAACGACCATTTCTTTGTGCAGTTAAATTTACAAAGCATGAAATTTATGTTTAATAGAAATCTGAAGCATTCCACAGTATATCCAATAGTAACTGAGGGGAGTGTTTGACACTTTGAGTCCATTTTAAAATTTCCTTTGTTCCTTCTTTTGTGTTCTTTAGAAGCAGTCTTGAGAGGTCTCTCATTATGAGCATTACACTTTGATCCTCCCGTCCCTCTTTCTTTTTATAGTGTTTATATCTCTTCATAGAAAGATAATTATTGAGATGTTATGATGAGCACTGTGCAATAGAATATTCTGTGATGACAGAAATGGTCTCTACATGAGCTGTCCAAGTTGCTGGCCACTAGGCACATACAATTTCTTCAACATTTGAAAGGTGTCCAGTGTGACTATGGAATTGAATTTTTTAATTTAGCTTAATTTTAATTTAAAAAAAATAATAGGTGCAATGTAACTGAAGTGATACACAATACAAAAAGATGTAAGTTGTGACATCAAAAACATGAAATGTGAGAGGGGGCAGAGGAAAAATGTAGTTTTTTAATTTAATCAAAGTTAAGCTGTTAGCAGCTTAAAGTAGCCTTTTATAAGATTTTTATTGCTTTTGTTATTTTTAATTGACACATAATTGTATATTTATGGGGCACATGTGATATTTCGATACATGTGTACAGTGTGTAACGATCAGAGTAGTTACCATGTTCATCACCTCAAACATTTATCATTTCTTTGTGTTGAGAACCTTCGAGGTCTGCTCTTTTAGCTATTTGAAAATATGTAAAAAATGTTAATTATAGTCACCCTGTAGTGCTATAGAAACTAGAGCTGATTCCTCCTGTCTAGCTATACCTTTGTGTCTAGTAACCAACCTTTTCCTATCTCCCTTCTGCCTTCCCCTCCCTTGGCCTTTAGTGATCACTATAATTTTAATTTTAATAGCCCATTTAGTTAGTAGCTACTTTATCAGATAGTGCAGGTCTAGATCGTGAGTTATATAATTATTATTCTGAGCAGCGAGACTAGGAATTCTGAATGCAGTTTCACAAATACTCAATAAAAGCTCTTTGGTACATAGCTGCTCTGGGCTAGGTACTCCAGACTGATGTGGAAAGCAAACATCTGAATAACTTGGCATTCATTTAGCCTGTATGCAAAGATCATAAACTTTTAAGTCAGTTTATAGTTGGCTATCTATATATGTATTTGTGTGTATATTTTTTTACAATAAATATAGCCATTTGTTCCCCCTTATTTCTCACATCTTATCATCAGAAGAGCCAACCATTGTTGCCTTTTAGGTTTCACTTTGTTAGCAGAATAATAGAGAAAAAGGAGAAAGCTAGTCTACTGTTACCTTGATCAACTGATGTAGCTTTCCCAAACCTGTTTCTTCATCTTAGGAGTGAGGACAGCAAAACTTCACATGGGGCCTGTGGAAAGGTGGTAAATTTGGTTTTGTAATTAAATGAGTTCACCTGCCCTTAATTTCGTTATGAAAGAAAGCATCATGGTTTAGTGTTTTAAAAATATGGGCTCTAAAATTTAGTTTCAAGTTTTAGCTCTTTGCTTATCTTAAGCAAGTTACTTATTATGCCTCAGTTTCTTTGTGTAAAAAAATCACAATAATAATTATCCTTACCTCATAGGCTGGTTGTGAGAATTAACTAAGAGAATAAATGTAAAATTCCTAATAGCAATGCTTCAGAAATAGTGAGTTCTCGGTAAGTGTTGGCCAGTTTTAATCTTGTTTTATTTTTACATATCTTTCTTCTCCATCATTAGCAAATTGTTTTACATTATTCACACAAGACTGAGCTGGTCACCTTTGTGCCCTTTCTCCAAGGAAATTCCAGACAATCCAAAAGTAGCAGCTCTTTGGGTGAATGAAGCTCAATTATCTCACCAGCTGGAACTTTCTTAAATATAGTTGTTTGAGTGAAAGGGTGGAGAAAAGCTGATTGTGTTTGTGACTAATTGGTAGATTCTCTGGACAGGGAAAAAAGGTGGCCTTAAAAGAAAACAGGAAGAAGACTTAGGCTAGACTGCCATGAGTTTTGGGGGTTAAGGAAAATGCTATGATACTATGCCTGAATTGAAAGGACTGCAATCACGAAGAGATTATACTGTCTCTTTGGGGGAGAGAGCAGGCCTCAGGTGATTGTGTGGTTGTGTGGTTCTGAGGCAAGTGAGGTTGTCATACTCTCATGCTGATGCCGGTCCTGCAGATTTAAGAGCAGATCATACCTTTCCTCTGTGTAGGGTGGAAAAGCACTTGGTCTCTGGACATGCATTATCTCTTTTTGATCCCGGCAGCAGGCCCTAATGCTAACTGTCCCACCTAAGGTAGAGATTTCTGGTTGCCGGTTCCACTGACAGCTGAACAGGCAGTTGGTGATTTCTTGTAGTTTCAAAGACATGTAGACACTAGAGAGAGTTAAGAGTATGACTTGGAGAGACATAGTCTCCCTGTGAAACTCCTTCATGTATAGTAAAATGGAACCATGAGGGTGGGGGAGCTGCCCAAGGAGAGTACATTAATAAGAAACGAGCATTTTCTTATACAATATGTTTGTGTTGGCTGTAAGCCAGTTTTTCCAGAGATCTAGCTGACAGAGGGAAAGAAGAAAGGAAGATGTCATTGAGCAAGGGAAGTCATCTTTATCTATACGGTGGACTGTTGGCAATAAAAAGGAATGAAGTACTGATACATGCTACAACATAGATGGACCTTGAAAACATGCTAAGAGAAAGAAGCCAGTCACAAAGGACCCATACAGTATGATTCCATGCGTATGAAATGTCTAGAATAGGCAAACCTACAAGGACATAAAATAGATTAGCAGTTTCCTCTGGCTGGGGAGAAGTGAGGAGTGACTGCTAATGGGTATGGACTTTCTTTTTAGAGTAATAAAGTGTTCTAAAAGTGATGTGGTGATGGATGTATAACTTGGAATGTATTTAAAAAAAACCCGACAGTCGGGACACTGACACCGTTGGGACACCACATAATGGTGGTGTTGACAGCATAAGCACCAGCGGCAGGGACTCCAACAGTGTGCCTGGCCCTCTCCACAATGTCCAAGGCCAAGGAGGCCAAGAAGCTGGGGGGCCGTGTGGCTGTGGAGTACCACGTGAGGCATAACCAAGTGCTGGGACTTGGACGTGGTTCTACAGTTGTCCATGCTGTGCAGCAAATAGTTGAAAAAGTGAAGCAGGAGAATCTGAACTTTGCCTGTATTCCCACTTCCTTCCAGGCTCATCCTGCAGTATGGCTTAAACCTCAGTGACCTGGAACAACACCCAGAGATTGACCTTCCATTGATGGTGCTGATAAAGCAGATGCTGATCTCAGTCTCATCAAGGGTGGTGGAGGCTGCCTGACTCAGGAGAAGGTCGTGGCTGGCTATGCTAGTGCTTCATTGCGATTGCTGATTTCAGGAAATATTCAAAGAATCTTGGGGATCAGTAGCGCAAGGGAATCTGCATTGAGGTCATCCCAGTTGCCTATGTCCCAGTGACCCGAGCTGTGAGCCAGAAGTTTGGGGGCATGGTTGAACTCCGAATGGTTGTTAACAAGGCAGGTCCCGTGGGGACAGATAATGGGAATTTTATCTTAGATGGGATGTTTGACCAGGTATGCAGATGGAGTGAAGTGAGCATAGCTATCAGAATGATCCGAGGTGTGGTGGACACAGGCCTATTCATCAACATGGCTAAGAGTCTACTTCGGGATGCAGGATGGCTCAGTGAACATAAGGGAGAATCCTTTCTGTTGACCCTGCAAGGAGCAGAGTGTGTTTGCCTTGAGTCTCCAGCCCACAGCCAAGGTGGACGGATCTCTCCAGGAGCCTTTGCCTTAATGTATCTGTGCCAGGGTGGACAACTGGCAGTGTGGGAGGTGGCGGGGGGGCTGTATTTAAATCTAGTCTTCTGAAGTATTGTTATTAAATGTCTTTTTATTTAAAAAGGGAAATATAAGCATATATTTTTACTAATAAAATATTCAGTTTTTTTAATGAAATAGAGCTTGATTTCATGTTTTATATGAAACATTCCCCTCCCCAAAAAGGGGGGGAGCGATGAGGGGACTGTCTTTAAAACCTTTGACTTGAGCCTGCTGGTTAAGCTTCTTAATATTGGATTTACTGAGAAATGAAAATGAAAACTTTTCTTTAAGCCGGTAAAATGAAGGGCCCAGCCAGCAGTGATATCCTGATGCTTTACTGGACAGTTTGTTTACTTGTCTGCCACTCTCTTTTTTGTTTTTAGTTAGTTTTCATTGTGAGCATGCACAATACCTAGTTACATCTTCAGATGAGGTTTACAAAAGTCTGTCGGGTAGAGCAGTGTGGTGTGGAGTGACTTGGAATATAAGCTGTCAGGGAGAAAATGTGGTTGTACTTTTGCTAAGATCAGGGGGTTTCTCCAGATCCCTGCTGTTGGAAGCATTGTTGTCTCCCAAGCCAGAAATGCTTGCCAGTACTGCCAAAGCACTGATGGGAAATGTGAAATATTTGTTTCTTTAATGATTTTGTTGTTAATTTTCTTTTTTGGTTCTTTATTACTACTTACATGGCTTGGCATCAGAAGTCATCATCTTTTTATATTGTTTCCAGATTGAAATAAAACAGTGTGGTGCCAAAAAAAAAAAAAAAAATAGAATTGTATACCTTAAATGGGTGAATTATGTGGTATGTGAGTTATAGCTCAATAAAACATTTTTTTTTAATGCAGAATTTAGAGATCTGGAAGAAAGTTTATTTCTGTTGTCCCACTGCAATGGTCCAGCTGTCTGACTTGAAGTTTGAATTTATCCTTTTATGAAATTGGTTTTGGGTCTATCTCTAGGGTTTGGTGGGAGCCAAAGTAAATAAACTGGACATGTAGAACGATGAAGGAGATTGGAGAGCATCTTAAAGCTCCCGGGACTTTCAGGGTGGCCAGGCACATTCCGTGATGCACAGGAGTTCCAGGCATGGAACCTGTACAGTTCTTCTACTGGTCTCAACAGTTCAGTTATTGTACTTCCTGCCAATACAATCTGTTAGAACAAAACATATATTTCTTTGTGACCGCTTTCTCCTACCAGAAATCTCTAGTAGTTTCTTCTTGAAACGTATTTAAACTAAACCTAGCAGGCAGGGCTCTCTCTCTCTCTCCTGTGGCATTAGTTCTGTGTGGTAGCAAGCCTGGGTAGCTTGGGAATCAGAACCCTGAGGTTGAATCCCACCTCTACCTGTGGGTTGTATTACCTTGGACCGGTTACTTAGTCTTTATAAGCCACAGTTTGCTCATCACTAAAGCAAGAATAATGCTGCCTACTTTAAGGGGGAGGTTGTGAAAATGAAATTAGTCTATGTGAAATACTTTTCATTTCACAGATGTGTGATAAATGTTAAGTCATTCCTCGCTTTCCTTTTCTGTGTTGTCTCCCACTTGCCCCAGCCATGAATCATCTTATCCACGGTTGGCCAGGAACCTCCCCTTCCTTTGGTAAATACCACACTGTGTGTACCCTTTGCACATGTTCTGGGTCTACCCACCCCAGTCTTCAAGTCCTTGCCTTTGTTTTTCTCTGTACCTGTCATACCCAAGTATCCAGATCTTACATTTCTGTTTCATAAATTATTTCTAGGCAAGAGCGATAGCGATGTTTCATTTTTGTAGTCTCTCTCACTTTTGCCCAGCATATAACCTTATATTGATTTGAATTTTTTTTTGTAGGTTTACATTATTACCTTTATGCTAAACTTTTCTCCTACATGACAAACTTGATTTGCATAGATGCTTTATCATTGTTTTTTGTTGGTTTTGTTTTGCTTTGTTTGCATCTCCTAAGTACTTACTTTAAAGCTGGATGTGTAGTGGGCTCTTAGTAGTGAGTTGGCTTACAAACCGACCACCAACAACTCGGCAGTATTCCAGTGCACGCTCAGTGAAAGATGGGGTAGGAGTAGTTGAAGTTCTTTGCTGTGTGCAGTTCTGTATGCAGGGACATTCCTTTTCAATCTTCTTTCCAAACCCTGAGTGGTGTAGTGTGGATTGAAGAAGGAAAGAGTGTCATCTTACCTCCTTCCTGTAGCAGTATCCCAGTATCCCTTTTATCCTGAGATGCTGGCTGCTGGAAGAGGGAGGAGAGTCCTTCGTTCTCCTTGCTCTGCCAGGAATGTGTGATGAGCATTTTATAAGACATTCTTTCTCTTCTCAGTAGTTGGCTCTGCTATTTCAAATTTAACCTTTCCTGTTAAAATTAGAGACCTGTTAGTCATGTGTTCCTGAGCTGTTCGTATGTTTGTTAACTTAGATATAATGAAATTTCTAGGGATAGCCTGAAGTCTGCATTCTATTTAATAAATATTTAAATGCCTGTTTTATGCTAAGAGTTGTTTTAAATGTCGCAGAAAGATAAATAGCATGTGGGCCCTGACTTATAATTGTTCACACTTCAGTTAAGGAAAAAATTTATAAATAATTAAAATTATACACAGAAGAGGCACTTAATAATTCTTCCTTAGAGAGATTAAAGAAATTTTCAAAGGGAATAGATAATTCGAACCTATTTTAATGGTTTAACATGTTTAACATGACTCTCTTCATTTTTTTTTAATAGACACGAGAGTTTTGGTATCTGATGTGCTAGTTTGCCAGATTTCAACCTTGTAGGTTAATCAAGTTTGTTCTTATAACCTCCCAGATTGATAATTTGGAATATGTAAGCCAATGACTTTAAAAATATAATTATATGATTTTTCTTTTATATTATTTAGGTGACTGCTTAAGAAAACTGCACAGCCCGCCAACATCTGATGAAATTAGTGAAAAAGCAAATCAGTCATGTCTTACATTCCAGGAATTGGTGGTGATCCTGCCCAGCTGGCACAGCGTATCTCTTCCAACATCCAGAAGATCACACAATGTTGTGAGTTGAGTTTTAAATTGACTTTACTGATTGTTTGAATTCTTATCTGGACTTAGTGGAGGTTCATAAAAGGACAACTCTAGTGAATGAGAGGGTGAGGAGCTTTCCTCTAAGAACAGATTTTAAAAAGTGATAACTGAATGATTTAAATGAGATGCCAGTGTGTTTTGGAAGCAAAGGGAGTAAAATTAGATTATAGATGGTTCTAAAAAGGTACTGCTATGCACAATGGTGTAAAATATCCCTTATTCTGATTTGGAGTAATTCCTGTTTTATTTGGCTATTCTTAAAGGAATAAGGAAGTGAATAGTGTGGAGATGTTGTGTTGTCCCCAGCAGGAAATGTAGGAATGGTATATCAAGGACTGTTCCAGTTTGTGCCAAGGCACCAGCACTGGCTTTGCCTTGCTCATCTGGGTTCAGATGTGTTCTGACATAGCCACAGAAGAGCATCTCCTTTTTATGACTTCCTTGCTGCTGGCTAGAAATATCTCTGGTCTGCCTCAGGTGAATCTGGCTACCTGTGTGAAAATTAAGGTAGCTTATATTTTTAATTTATATGGATGGAAAATCAGGACCTTTATACAAAAGAGGGGGCCAAGAGACCTTCCTCCAAGGAGTAGGACAAGCATCCTGTGCTGGGAAAGCTAAATGGTGTGGAAGTCTCAGAAGAGGATGGGGAGTGACCGTAGTGTACCAAGATTACAGAAGTAGTAAGCACTAGGTGCTATGAAAGATATGTGGATTGGAGATTGTGTGTGAGCTTGGCCTGGAAGGAGATGAGGGTTAACTTAGATCAGGCCATGCTCCCTCAGAAAGAGATCAGTTGATCCAGCCAGATGAGTAGTGATAAATTGGGCCACAGTTGAATAATCATGGCATGGTTGATAGCCAGGTGTGTGACTGTGTCCAGGGCAATCTTGGAGTGTGTGCGAGGATAGTGATAAGACTCCCAACTGTCCCACGTGAAGAGTTGTTAAGGAGACTAGGACTATTCAGCCAAGAGAAGGGATAGTCACTATCTCCAGATATTTGAATCCCTGTCATGTGCGTAACAGAAGCCATGGGTTCTGCACGAACATAGGGACCTCCACAAATGTGCAGAACCTGTAGGTAGTCAGACTTCAACTTGAAAAATCCAAGTTGTTAAGGGAGAATTGCCCTCCTCGGGAGGAGTGAGATCACTGTTACTAAGTGACCAAAAAGACTGGTCAAGTGTTTTTTAGGTCTGTTATTAAGAGTTTTAAACATTGGAATAATGGTTCAGACTGAGTTTTACTTTCATTACTCTGTCTTGGTTCATTCAACAAATCATTTAGTAAGCATATACGACTTGCTAGATACTGTTCTAGACCATGGGACTCTAGCAGTAAATAAACTGTGTAAGGTCCTGCTCACATTGTACTTTACAGGCAGTAAAAAAAAAAAAAATTAACGAGCAACGTAATTTCCTATGAAGAAAACACAGTGAGAGGAGTGACGTGAGAGCAGCTGACTGGGGAAAGCTGCCTTTGCCTGGATGATCTTTGAATGAGGATGACGAAAGGCTGGTAGTGAGAAGACCCAGGGAAAGAGCATTTCAGACAAAGAGAATAGCTAGTGTTGAAATTCCTAAAGCAGTCCAGAGCTTGAGGTATTCAGAAAATAGGAAAAAAGAAAATAGCCAGTGTGGCTGAAACACAGCACCTAAGACAAGAGTGGCAGCAGATGAAATCAGGGAAGGCTGGTAGGCCACCTGCAGGCTGTGCAGGAAGTTTAGATTTCATTCTAAGAGACGGTGGAAATCACTGGAAGCCTTTAAGCAGAGAAGGTACAGAATCAGAGCTGCACTTTGAAAGATTACTTTGGCTGCTGCTTAGAAAACAGATGTTGGGGGAATCGCAGGTCATCATCACAGAGGTCTGGGGAGAAAGATGTTGGCTTATACCCGGGTGATAGCAGTGGGGATAGAGAGAAGTTGTGGTATATTTTGGAGGCTGAGCCGGCAGGACTTGCTGATGCATGTCAGTGGGGGTGGGAGGAAAAGAGAGGAGTTAAAGATGCCTCTGTAGTTTTTGCATTGAGCACCCGAGTGGATGGTGTGGCAAGCGTGTACTGAGATGGGAAGGACTACAGTTAGGACAAGTGGCAGAGAATTTTATTTTGGCCAACTAAATTTTGAGATGTCTTTTAGACATCTATGTGGAGATACTGTACATCTAGATCAGATATATGACTTTGGAGTTCAGGCCGTCATTGCAGTTGAAATGATATATAAAACCATAGGTGTAAAATAACCACAAAAGAGTGAGCAGAGTTAAGAGGGCTTTAACGTTAAAATATGTCAAAGTCAGGAAGGCAGCATGAATAATCTGAGGAGTGACCAGTGAGGTAAGAAAAAAATCAAGATGTGATAGATTTCTAGAAATCAAACAAAGAGTGTTTCAAGAATGAGTGAGGCATTATCTGTGTCTAATGCTGCTGAGAGATGAAGATAAAGGCAGAGAATTGGATTTGGTAAATGGATGGTAAATTGGATTTGAAAAATGTGGCCTCATCTCCATATTCCAAGTGTAAATGGAGAAAGAGAGGGAGATGGAGCTGCTCTTAACCTTTTAAAGAAACTTTCCAGAATCCTACTCACTTCTGTTGTGTTACTGACCATGTACATGGCCACACTTAGCTGCCAGGGAGGCCAAAAAAGTCTTCGAGCTGGATTTCAGTGTGCTCACGAAAATTGGGCCATTTGAGAAAGAAAAGCGAGAATCAGTATGTATTAATAGTAGGAAACTAGCACACTCTACCATGGAAGGAGAAAGTGGGTCAAAGAAAGGGTTGCATTTTCTAACACAAAAGGGACAGTCTAGTGAGAATATAATTGCAAAAGAAACATTTTCAAGGGCGAGAGGGAGTGGGGAAAAAACCACTAGAAAGTGGTTTAGCTTTCATCCACCATAGAGAGGCCACAGCAGAGTGTGATGCAGATGGAGGTCTGGTGGGCAAAGGTGGAGGAGTTCCTGTCTGCGTGGGTCTGTTTTTAAATGAAATATGAGGCAGAGGCATCAGATAGAGAATGGGAGGGAAAGATGTTGGAAGTTTGTGGAAAGACGAGAAAGTGGACAATTGAGAGAAGAGAAATTGAAAGAAGAGATTTTGACAATTGAGAGAATGAAGCTCCCAGGGAAGTAGAGGAGGGAGTCTGGCAGGTTGAGTACACATTTGAGATTTGGGGTTGTGAATTTGGTGAAACCAGTAATCACGGTGTATTT